CATTATTAGTGTAAGTGATATATGTTTGGTAGATTGGTATCATTCGTTTGATTTTTAACAATGACACTGATACTGCTCTAAATTCTGTCGATATCTGTTGCCGGAGACTTGTTTTCAATGCAAATCGCATCCTCCTCAGTAAATAGATTTATAAATGTGTAAATATGAACGATGCAAACTTAATAGAATAATCAGGTATTTATGAAAACTTTAACGTGAAAATGTACAGGGAAGGTGGAATATATTCATGAATTAGCTATCACATGACAACAAAAACCGAGTTCACTTTATCGTCAAGTATATTAATAAAGCATTGAAGACGTTTATAGATAAGTTGTTACATGACAACAATAATAAACTGATCACATGTCAACAAAAAAGTGTTCACCCGAACGTCAATTATATGAAGAAAATATCGAACAGTTTAATAATGATAAGCTATTTCATGACAACAAAAACATATTCATTATAGATAGGTAAATCATGCACAATATATTGCTAAATAAGATATTTCATGACAACTAAAAACATATTTTCAATATTGTTAGGTAAATCAAACAAAATGCATTAATAAATAAGCTATTTCATGACAACAAAATCATATTTACTATATTGTTAGGTAAGTCAAACACAATGCATTAATAAATAAGCTATTTCATGACAACAAAAACATATTTACTACATTGTGAGGTAAACCATAAACAATGTATTCATAAATAAGCTATTTCATTACTTTGAAGAACGTGTTGATTATAATGATGGAATCTGCACACACTTGTTTATTTACGTATAAATGATTTAATATGTGGACAATCACATGATGTGTTAATATATATATATATATATTATACGGTATTTTATGAGAAAACCACCACACTTAATCGTTAATATCCATCGCTCTCCTAACATTGTATGAATGACTCATTCGATGCATACTTGCTATTGATTACATCTCAGAAACAAAATATATTCAATGTAATGCAAATACCTAATGCATTCAGTCAGCGATGTACAAATTGTATACGATTACAGGTCATTGTGTTTAAAACTAATAGCACAGTATTGTTTATGCCTTGGTATGGAGGGTGGAGAAAAACCGATCAGGTTGAATGTAAATAACGACAACGTAAAAAACATGTTATCGATCAAACGTATTAATGCTAATATATTCTATAATGCGCCACCTGCAAAACAGTCTATATTTTAAAAAAATCTATTTTTAATCTAGCGTATCGCATCGCTCAAAAGAAAGCAAACAAGATATGTTTGGAAGATAAAAAGCAGTCAAATGAAATGTAGCCCTTTGAATCAATTATATAAAAATGATAGAAACGACTGTATCAAGTTTGATATCTCGGATAAAATGAAACATTCGTATGATTGTCGCCATTTCTGCCCGATCGCGTCAGCTAGTTATTGTCGTTCAATCGTCAGGCTACACTTGAAGATCAAGATCGACATGTTGGAAAAATACGAATGAGTTTAAACGCTTTTATGACATTACTGTAATGCGTCCAGCTCTGATGGAAGGGGGAGAAAAGGGAGTGGATCTACAAAAGAATGTATCACTATAATTTCTATCATAAGGATCTAACATTATTGGGAAATACCAGTGCGGTCCTATTCTGTATCAATAAAAGCTTGATGACGGCATCATCAGAAACAAGCGTCAATTATACATACACTGCCGCCAATTCCAAAGACAACAACGATTGACAATTGGACTGGCGCTTGTCATGTTGTTTGATGTTCCTAACTAATTTTTATCATTTTCAGTATCCTTTCTGACACGGTATCTGGAAATCTACAAACTAGTGATATCTGACAACCGGTAAAGGTAGACCAGCCATTGGACTGGTCAGCCATTCTGATCGTATCACCTAAACATCTAAAATACAGCCACTTAGAAGTGAATGTTCGGTATATATAAATCAACGTATTCTATTTGTGTTGTTGTCAGTGAACCATTACACATATATTTATGTGTAAAATCTTTAGTCAGGCTTTTAAAAAAGGTTCTTGACATATTAGCAACGGGGATAAATGTTCTCTCTGTTAATCATAGAAAATTAATTAAATTAGCAATGAAATATTATAATATAATCATAAATACATATATCCCCATTTTACTTATTTCACCTTAGTTTCAATCTGTGTATTTATCCCACGTCTTGTTGTTGTTTGTGACTATAAACTTGATAAAGGTGTTTCATGTCAGGAAGGGGTCTGATTGGCATCTCTGGTCCTGCCCCTTATCGGCCCAACATAGCGTGTTAAGTCAGCCCCTTGCATACGGCCGACAACGATAAGCCTACTTTTCGCTTTATCGTTTTTTTTATTAAGCTATTTTTCTGTTTGACTATGAAAATATTTTCGGACTAGGGCTAACTTGACGGCTGGTATAATAACGGGCATGTGTGATATTTGTTGAGAATGACAGATGTATGCCATCAGATTACAAATTTTACAGTTCGCGTTTATATCTTCTATATCAGCTCTACACCCATTGCTGAGAATATTTTCGTGGCCTGGGGTCTATGCTTAGCCAGAGGTCAGCTTATAATACATAACGAAACGGTGTTATAGATCCTTAATATTTAAACATTGCTTCTGTTACCTAATCCTTTGTAAGTAAAACAGGCCTACAACTTTTTGGACAGATAAAATATTTCAGTATTCAAAACATTATTATTATTATTCATGTTTGCCCCTTGCATGTGACTATTGATATTATATTTGAAAACCAAAAAAAAAAAAAAGAAAAAAGAAAAATAGCTTGAATTTATAAAACATTTTTTCCATTAATTCCTAATTTGCTACTAAGATCGCTTATCGAATAACATCATTTCGTACCAGGAGGGAGCCGTTCACACGTTTCTAGAGTACCTCTCAATTAGTTATGATTTTAATCAATTTTAAAATCTTTAGACCAAGTGTGTACAACACTCTCTGTTACCAAATAAAATTTACCCAAAAATCTCTTTTCGTGGTAATGTTAAATGGTTATCAGCAATATTAGATGGCAGTTCATCTCATATACAGGCATTCAAATATTGTTTTATAATTATATCAAAGTTAAGTGGATTTTTTTCTCATTTACCAAACATTTGGATATAATTGTAGATGATTCCAAATCATGAAAAAATATCCATTCGTTCATTGTACCACTGAAATTAAATTCAATGCTGGTATTATTCACACCAAAATATATATACAAAGACAACAAGAACATATCCCCAGAAATTTAATGTAAACTCAAATCCTATGAAACTAGGACAAAATATAAGCAAAAGAAACAAAAGTATTTACAAATGAATATGATCTAAGCTATTCTGTAAACTTTTGTGTCAAAAACAATTTACACAAGAAATACACGTAAACAATTATTTTGAACAACACTCATGAAACGCCCATTGTTGTTAGACAGGGGTGAGAGTGAATGTATGGAGTAAGTAATTGGTGTACGTACCGATAATATCGGTGGCGGTGTTCTTTTCATCCTACCTTTTATCACAGAATGCTAATATATTTATGTTTTTGTTTTATTATCTGTAAGATATATCCAGCATAACTCTTTGTAAGCCTAATGATGTACATTACCCCGACTATCTTGCAATTTATCAGTCGCCATTATATGATCGAACGTTTATAAACCTCAGGATAGAGTCGATATTAGTGCATGTTTAAATATGATGATAATTAAAACATGATCCATGTTATTTTGTGCTTATAACTATAGATATTAAAATCTCATATAATCATACAAATTTATGTAAAGACAAACTTTGTATATTGTTGTAAATACAAAATGTTTAAAATGCACCACCGCTGTATGTAGTCCAGCTAAATGACGGGAATTATTAGTGAAGAAATTCATCGTCAAGTTCCTTTATCACTGGTATATTAACAATTTAAACTGTGTGTATGTTGTAATTCTTTTTCTAGAATTTATAAATCCTCCAATATTCCAACCAATTGTTTTAAATGTTAGCTTTCACTTATTTCATCAGCTTACTCTATCTGATAAATCAATATGCTGATTTGCTAATTTGTAATATAAATTTATCTCTGCAATTTTTTTACAACAAACTTTATTTTCTTTTCTGAATAAATTGCGCTCATTTAAATTTGGGTATACATTTCGCAATAAAATTGTCAATTCACCATTTGTTTTTTCTTTAATCTGCAATTTTCCCAAGGAAAGATAAGTTTAGTTCAAGAGGTAAAATATATGACTGATATGACAGATATCACAATCTCTGATATACATTGTGAGAACCTTTTCCCACTATTTTACAACTGGTTAAACCTGCAAGACAACAGAAGCCCAAAACTTTTTATCACTTGGTGAAATGATATTTTTTTAAATGCCCATAAAAACATTTACCAATCAAATTTCATATAAGACATATATCTGCATCCCGGTAATGCTGAAAGCGTAGAGGCCCAGTATGTCCTCTACAAGTGTTGTATACATGCATACAAGTGGTGGGAAAAATCAGTATCGGTTCTGACGAAAAACTTTTATAAAATGTCTGAATCAGATAAACTGGAGTCCCGCGTCACTTGTGGCCAAACCACCAACTGTGTTCCATGTCAGGGGCTTCACTCTAAAATCGAATTTAAAAGAGGTTACATGATAACTCTCACCATTTTCTCATACGATTACTTTTTACAAGTGAAAAAAATTATCAATTTATCGTTTGTTGACAAATTTATCAACAAGTGAATATATGTACCTTATGAAAAGAGTTTACACTTGGCTTGTTGTAGTCATCAGTTGACATGGCATTTGACTAGATCCTACCAAGTTCGCCTTTGTCAATAATTGGTAACGGTTTTGATGAAGCTTTATTCGTTTACAAAAGAAAACGATTTACACAAGTCCCGAGTTATATTACACTAGCTCTGAGTGGTTTTTAATCATATTTTGCTGATACTGCAACAGGTTATACATATTTAGTCAACGATGGCTTTACTTGTCGTGTCTTTGTTCCCAGGTCAATCTGACAGCGAGGATGCCGATGACGATATGGAAGAAAAACTAGGGTCAAATGACGAAGATATTTTAGATAAGGTGTCTCCTGGCGAGTATACTACACTGAACCCTACATCTCCGGTTACGGACAGTGACAATAGTGTTGACCGGAAATACCCCTCCACATCGTCAGGCAACAATGACGTCACATCCGATATATCAAATGAAAGAGCAACTGACAATTGTGTATCTCCTTCAGAACTTGATTTCCTCAAATCTCTGAGTTTCCCGAGTGATATCCTTAGCCTAAGGAAGGTTGAGGGTGATGAGGCACTCCGCGTTGGCCGGCCCTATGTTGTGTGTACCGCTATTCCCCTACAGAAAGGCAGTAGTATTGGTCCATTTCTAGGGGAGCACGTGTCACTAAGTTCTGTCCGGCAAGGTGACCTCGTCCTACAGGTAACATTTTTGCTTCCCTGTCGTATACTGTTAATCTAGCATTAGGTACACAATCTGAATGGAATATTTCATAAGTGAACAAGAATTTAATTTTATCAGTACATGATACAATGCCCTGTACTTTTTTATATACTTTTTTATATTCAGTTATGAATATTATTTTTATCAAATCGTATTATGATTTTATCCGTACATTAAGTTTACAAATGTGTATGCTGCCCTGTTTTGTTTATATACTTTTGTACATGTAATTATACATATTACTTTAATAAATGGTTTTATATTTTAATGTATTTAATTATAAATATTATTTTTACAAATGACATTATATCACAATATATTTTACCTAAGTATAACTTTAAGCAATGTTTTTATATTACAATGTATATGTCTACTATAAACGCTGCTGTTTTTACAACTTGTTAGTTTAACGAATGATATAATAAGGGTTACGGTCTCTCCGTTTATTAACGTGTATTACAGAAATTCACCAGTTCGTTAAGTTCGTTGCCATGGCTAATATAAGATTACATAATTCATGTGAAAGACATTTATCATTTAATATACCTATGTATTCAATAATATTTTCTTGAATTTGATTAAATTGGATGGTGCGGATCCATTTCTGTTGGATTATCTAGATTTTCATGAAAAATATGCATTTATTTGGATACATAAAATCATTATGTAAGTCTGCTACAAATGTCTATGTATCCTGATTATGCTATTCTGTAACTTGGTCTGTGTTACTTATATAACCTAATGGAATATTTTACATTTAACTTTATTAACTACTACGACTGAGTTGTTTATAGAATTTATCGAAAAGTCACGAATAATCCTTTTGAATTTCTAACTTTACATGTATTTAAATGGTATTGCTGGAACGTTCGCATAGCATTGCTTTTTTTCTTCCGATTCATCAGTGAAAAAGGGAACATCTAAACGATGATGTTTTTGAACAACCGATAGGAACACCTGATATTAATATCAATATTTTCCCATCAAACAGCTGTTGAAAATGTCAAACTATATATCTATCACCTATCTGAATATCTAAGTTTAGGTCTCCATGCATTTTCTTAGTTCCCGAGACTTCAGTGAGACTGTCAGTGGAAGCGATAGTAGACATCTGTGCCGACTTATCTTTAACTTATTCAGTGTTGATAAAGGCCATTTTTATCAAACTTTGGCTTTGTGATAAGCTTTCACACGAGTTCGAAACTCTGATAACTGAATAACATTTCATTTTTGATATGCTTTTATCAAAGACGTGATATTCTTATCTGAATTTACAAGTCAGATGCCAAGATAGAAGCAATCGTTGTTTGACTCTAGAAAAAGTTCACTAAGATATGGCTCACAATAAAAGCCAGCTTATCTGTCTCTGCTGCTATAGACATGACCCCCGGAACGTGATGATTTAATGCAATTGTAATTATTTTATGACCAGTTAATCTTAGAGTTGTTCAGTTAAAACTATTTTTTGCCTTTTTAGAAAAAAAATCCCAGAGCACTGCAAAGTTGGCCGGTACCTTTGAGTCAGTTAACAGGTGTTTCTCTCTTTGCGTTTTCAACTCCGCACGGCTCTTTGAACTATTATCTTTTTGCTTATGTAGGTTTAGAGGAATTAGTATTTAATACGTCAAATAGCGTTATACTAGACTGAAATACCCTTTTGTAATTCAACATGCACGTTATCGCTGGTTTCCATCATCCGCCATAACGGTTGATGAACAGGCGATAAGGCTTGTAGTAATGAGAGTAATTACACCTGATCGCGCGCGGGCCGCGAACCACGCGCCTATTTTCGCCAAACAATATGTTGTGATTAGTGTACATGTAGCTGCATCGCGTATGGCACCTTTCATTTCATGTTAAATAACTTAAAGTGGGGTTAATTTCTGACACAGAAGTCAGAACAACTTAGCCAGATACATGTGTCGTTTGTGCTATTTAGCGGTGCACTAATTCACAAACATTTCTGAAATGTGCTCAGCCTGTCGGGGGCTTTCCGGTTTATGTCGTGTAAGTTACTCTCTGGCTTTCCTATATTTTAAAGTATTAAATTCCTGAATGCTAACGCCCTTTAAGTACGGCTCTTAAAACACACCAGCATATTACGTTCCATGTTAGTCCTTACATATTGTAAACAGAACATGTTTCCATCCCAAATATAGTCTGCTGATTCACTATACCTTATTGTTATCATTAACCAGATACTCTATTGAACACGTATAGATGAAAGTTTACAAAACAATTACTCTGTTTTTTTTGTTTATGTCATCCTGGATAAGTAAATATATTTTGTGATTAGTAATATCAATACATTATTCCAATAGGCCCACAGCGAGGACGGCGAGCCGACTTTCATACGGGTGTTAGAAAGAAGCGGAGCCTGGCTGTCCTTTCTTCGTCCTGTTTTTGCACAATCCGAGTGCAATGCTTCTGTATTTTTTGAAGGTATGTCTTTAATTTTCTCGCTCATTTTCAAATCGCATACAATGGATATAACAAGTTCGCGGTGATATATCATTGAACATCCGTCTCTATCAATAAGAAATAGAAAATCCTGTAGAAGAACTCAACAAGCTGGATTGCTTTTTAATGAGTTCTAGTCTAGTCTGAGTTCTTTATTACCAAATCAAGACAAGCAAGGGTAAATAACTCTTATCATGTAAAGACCAGACATGGCCATGACAGAAGAGGAAATTCGTGCTATTTTTACTTGTAGTAAGGAAAATACTTACAAATCTTCAGAAGCCTAATTCTCAAACTCGATTAAACTAAGTCAACGTATGGATAAAAGAAATACGTGAAAAAACCAAGGTTTTCTGGGTCAGTAGCTTCATGAAAACTACCCATCCATTTATTCTAGGTCAATAGATGTAAGTAATATCATAAATAAGCGTTCCATCATGTAGTATATGATGACGTCTGTATCATTGCATGATTATGAAAAGTTACATTTCCATGGTTAACATTTAAGCTTAGTTATTGATGCAAGCAACTTGCTTTGTACAACTTTTTCTAATAAGGAATACATTATCGAGTTTGATGATGGTATTTTTCAAGTGTGTTTGTAAAATGACATGTGATGAGTTGGATACCTTGAATTATGATGATGTAGGTAATAAATGATCACGGCCATTCGCTGCATCAGGTTGCAAGTCTAAAAGAGATGCTTGGTCACTGAATGAAGAAAGAAACGTTAAGTCAGTCAATCAACCATATAAATGCCATTTCACAGTGACACGTGACATTCTGGCAATCTTATTGTTTGATTAAACAAGAGTATTCTATATAACAGATATAATACCGTATGACGTCATCAATGCCATAAGTTTTATTCCGATAATTTGATATCTATAAAAACAAACAATTTTGTTTAATTTTCTCTCTAATTCCTCATCTATTCATGTTAATTCATCTGTAAATTCGCATCAGAATCGCCGAGACGTCCAAAGCTATATCAGGCAAGACGCTACTTACATAAACATTGGTTGAATGATCGTTCCACGCTAAAAGACAACATGCACGTGCATTTTTCTGTATCGTCCAACCTCATTGAAACATCTATATATATATATATATATATATATATATATTAGTACCACACCTTGAAAAGTCAATATTGGAAGACAAACGATAGAAACAAATAGCAGGGTCATAGATATACATATTTACATGTACGTGGAATACCAAACATGAGTGGGTAACCATTGCACTTGCTATCGCAAGAATAATTGGCAAACACCGTGACACTAATATATGTAAATGCTTTGTGATTCCATATCAGTATTTGACGTCTTATCATTACAAACTATCTATGAATATGGCACAGTTGTCAAAAACCTGAAAATTGAGCTTTTAGCCAATATAAAAGTTAGATGGAATTAGACAGAGATAAAAGACAGATAACGTGAAACGCTAGCCTTTATAAATAATTTTATATTTGCATCTTTAAATCCTATTCATATAGCATTTTTATAGAAACATGAATCATCATTTAGTATGTATTGTATGGGAAGCGATCACCCACCACCCAGTCCGGTGATAATAAACTACTCTATACATTGATATGGAAATCTCTCAAGCCTGGCACCGCCCGATAACATCCACAGGCTGATATCATCTGTCATTAATAAAAAGAAAACAGAACATTATATGCTAATTCTTATCCGCAATCAGCAGAGTTTACCGGACAGCTGGGTTAGCCGGCTGATTAGATGGAGACTTTCATTGTAAACTGTACTTTAAAGCTAGCCAGTACTATCCCAGATCAGCCTTGTTTGTCAGCCAAGATGGATGACAGTCCCGCGCTCCGATTTCTATCGGAGCCGTAACACACAAACCAACAAAAGGTGTTATGCGATAGAGGACATAGATAGGCCCTATAAAACATAAACCTTATCATATTGGACGAGATTTTTCTGTTTGCCAGGACGATAACATACAAGGTATTGTGTTTCTAGTAGCGACTTGAAGTCTTATGAATATTTCATATGCTACGTTGCATAATTTTACCATTAATACATATATGTATTAGCCGTATCTTATCAGAGACCCTGATCGCCTGTCTGTCATGTTACGCTTACCAAACCAAGATTGTCTTTTATTTTATAGAGACGCTCGCCAACACCCGATCGCTTCGATCGCTGGGCCCCTTTCAATACGTCATTCTCTTTCTAGCAGATTTCACTCCGCTTTACTGCCGATCTTTTCTCTATAGAATTTTGAATGGCAGATAACCCGACCCTGATTACAATGCCTGAATGCGACGTGGCGAATTGTGTTGATCTAATCAGAAAGTGATGGCCGTCTTATCTCACTAATTCCACGTATTGTTATCCTAGACCGGGAGGTTCCGGGTAGGGGGTACCACCCGTAGTAGTATCACACCTTTCTATCTCGTGTTTCCTCCACACAATACCTTATCGCACCTATCAGTCCATAAAATACAGGCCTATTCATCGTGGGATATGTGCGTCATACCAATTTTGCTTATTATCCTGCATTACCAATATTTTATTGAAAACTACATTATATTCCTGGCGTCGACTGTGAATAATAACAAGAACCGTTGTATATTTTACTTATCAGAACTTTTCATTCTGATGCACGTGTTTAGAGAAAGTGTTTGTAATTAATGATTTACGGAATGTTATATATCAAAAGATGTTACGGCGATAAAAGTTGTTTGTAGATAAAATTAAAATCAAATGTTTCAGAAAATTGTTAAGTGACCTGATCTTTGTAGTTCTGAACTTGGCACCTTCCTCGACATAAACAGATAAAACAATCCTCGACATAAACAGATAACACACACACATACATATATATATATATATAATTAAAAATAACAATGCCGGTTCTGACATCAGCCGCGTTCTCGCTTACGTTGGGATATCACTGTGTTGTGTGTTATCTCTATGTTTTACCGTCGTGTTTAGTTTCACATTTTCGTATTACGTCGCATAGTTTTGACGATGTACATGCCTGTGGGTTTATCTCGCCGGTGTATTTGTCGATACAAATAAACTTGTATATTCTCATTTGTTGTTGATAACAAAGGTTTTCCTGTGCGTGAAGCTGAGGGAGTCTCGAGTGTTATCACGCATCCTGACTTGGTCGTGATTGTACTAGTGATTAAACAGTTCTTTTGTCTCTGATAAAAACCTCACATAAAGTTGCTTGGCTATCAGAATCTTACAGAAATGTACGAACGGAGTTCACCTTCCCTCTCATCAGTGTATAAGCTGGAAAAACTTAACCTCATCGTCAGTGTATATACATCCATAAATCCATCCATCCATTTATCCATCCAGTCATCCAACCATTCATTTATTCATCCATCCATCCATCCAACCATCCATCCATCCATCCATCCAGTCATTCATCCATCCAACCATCCAACCATCCATTTATCCATCCATCCAGTCATTCATCCATCCAGTCATTCATCCATCCAGTCATCCATCCATCCATCCATCCAACCATCCATCCATCCAGTCATTCATCCATCCAGTCATCCATCCATTCCTCCATCCATCCATCCGCAGTGAACAGATTGTAACGATGATAGTGTCAATCGAGTATATCGATATATTGATTAACCTATCAACATTTGTAAAGACATACTTATAAACGAGAAGCCATTGTTTCTATAATTTACATATAAAACAAAGTCAGACATATTGAGGAGTATCACATATAACTATGAAGATTTATAAAATAAACAAACGATAATAGTTTTAGGGAAAATATACGGTCGTCATAGTAATCACATTGAGAATTATTCTATTCCTTTGTGCGGTATGGCGTTTGAGGTGTTTGATGCCCGTTAGTTTGTCTGTTGGATCCGTTCTCGTGTCAGCACGTAACATCATTAATTTAGATTGACCAAGATTTACATGACAGATGTTGTCGATGAGGCAGAAAACGAATGCAATTAAAACTTTAAACTTTATTTATTTTGCAACAAATTCGAAACAAGTTTTTTCCAACTTACATAAATCACTCTTGTTGGTCCGGAAGAAAGCGCGCAATGGGTCTTACTGTGGGAGGAAAACCTGAGTACCAGAGGAAACCCCACGTGGTCAGGCAGGTGACCGCCAAACTTCCGGGAATCGAACCCCGGACGGTCTTAGTGAAAGGCTAGTGCATTACCACTACGCCACCCTACCACCTTAAAGACGATTATTCTTGCGGAACACCTTTTTTTATTCTCCTTTTACTTTTTTCAGGGTTATGTTCTGTTTTGCCCTGGTTTTATTGCATTTGAGTTTGGATGATGGTTATGTTCTAATGATGGTATATTCTGGCTTTTTTAGAGATGTACTATATAAAGAGTGTAGACAATCCAGACTCTTAAACTTGATTTCTTGTGATATATAGGAGGAAAGATCTGGTGTCAAATGATCGAAGATCTGCCCGAGAATACCGAAGTGATGGCTTCCTTCAGCGCTCTGACCTGTAAGGAGGAGTCTGTACAGGAAAGCAAGGACGAGGATGTGGATGTGGAGAAAAACTTGAAATCAGGAATGTGTAGTCCAACAAAACGTATGTCTGATGTCTCCTCCTCCTCCTCTCCCTCCTCAGCAGCCCCCGCCAAACCAAGCCCAAGTCACGGTAGGTTGCTCACAAGTATATTTAGGTAAAAGAACATTTTAATTTTACTGTATTTGTATAGACATGTTCAAACTGTACACAACTAATTTTGTATTGACATCTGATTCTGTTACAGCGGCGCTGTTATTCGGCTGTCCTTACTGCGGGGTCCGCTTTAGCAGTGGTCGAACCTTGGACGGACACCTTACCTATTATTGTTCAAAGAAACCACAAGACTTCTCTGTAGCAACAAAAGCAGTGGATCAAGAACAACCATCACCCAGATCCTGTGATGACGGGACAGGTAAATATTCTATCGGAAAACGTTGGAAAGAAATAATATAAGTAAATGCAAATAACACGCAAGAACAACTTCCGGAACACTTAGTGTTATTCTACTTGTACTTACTAAGGAATATCGATGTAACTTATTTTCATATTTTGCACCATTTTATGTCATTTTTGTTTAGATAATGATTCCGTTGACATGTTCATATTTTCTTTGTTATTTCAACCTGATTAATATTACTTCTCTTCTTTGTGATAAGTTACAAACTCATTAGAGAATGTCGCTATTCTGACGTTATGCCAGTTTTTAGTGATTGTGTATTGGAAAGTATGAAGATCAATAATGATGTAAATTATTTTCAGAACAATGTGCTGAACGAAAGAGAAAGAGTCCGTCAACACCGGATAGCCAGAAAGAATTTTATGTGAAAACGGAACCCGAATCTCCGGGAACCAGGTCTGCGACGGAAAGTCCGCCGTCAAAGATGGCTAAACTTGTGGAGCACTACAAGTGTTCATTCTGTTCTTACACTGCTGACAAAATGTCCAGTTTGAATCGCCATATGCGTATACATAATAGAGGAGGTCGATCTCAGACAGAACCCCGCCCAGAGAGTGTACCAGTGCCAAAGTACGAAACTTATTGTAAACACTGTAATATCCAGTTTTCGTCCGTCAGTACATTTAACTGCCATAAAGAATTTTACTGTTCGCGGAGGTCAGGTAGCAATGACGGCACAGAAAATGGTAGTGATAATAGTTCACCATCCCCAAACCCCAGTGCAATTTCTCCTATATCGCGAGCTTCCATTATGGACTCGGCAGAGTTGGCGAGGCTACACGGGTTCATGGGTAACTCGCCATTCATACATGGACAAACAAGGGTAATCATAGGACCTCCAATTGTTGCGCCAGAAGGAGTGTCCGGGATGCCAACTGTTATTGTGCAGCCTGTCGTGTCACAGATATCTTCGTCAGAGTCTACAGAGCCAGCTGTTGTTTCTACGAGTCGACGAGATTGTGATCTGAGTACCACCTCATCAACTGAACAACCTCTTGACCTCACTACACCTAGAAAGCAAACTGAGAGTTCAGAGGAGCACTCAGATATCGTGAAATCTGAACCGAAAAGTCCTAACTCTCCTCTTAACTTAAAATCACCAAAAAGTCAGGCGTCTGAATCACCACACTTGCGGGAAGAAAGGGAAACAACCCCTGTTACACAACCGATTGTGTCCCCTGCTTTAGTACCACCGTTACTGCCAGTCACACAACATCCTTTTTTCAACAACAAGCCAGTTCCTCAGGTACCTGCCTCGGTTAGCAAGTGCATTGACTGCAATATAGTGTTCTACAAGCATGAAAACTATCTCATTCACAAAAAACACTATTGCTCCGGCAGGCGTAATAGAACTTCTTCACCGGGTACCAGTAGCGAGGATTCTGTCGGCGCGGCCTCAACCCCGGGTTCAAAATCTGTTGAGCTCGAAAGTAACAAACGAGCTCGTCATTACTCTTCCGAAACAGAAATTTCGGATAAGTGTTCACACAAATCAGTCAGTCCAGTAATTCAAAGCCCAAAGTCGGACAGCAAGCTCTCGCCTGATGCTTCAAGACCATCGTCTATCCCAGATGAAATCCTGTATCGCTTTTATTGTGTTCCGTGTAAAATAAAGTTTAGTTCCTCCAGCACGCTTAAAGCACACAAAAAGTTCTACTGTCCTCATGGACAGGAAAGTGAACAAACTGTACTACCTAAAAAACCATTGGAAGATCGTGGGAACTCTCCTGTTATCGACGACGGCGGAAATTTTAAATGTGATAGGTGTGATAGCAGTTTTATCTCTGCTAGACTACTCAAGTTGCATTTCTGTACCGGCATCACGACAGCTACGCCCCTCATGCGCTGTCCATACTGCGACTTTGTAACACACACGGATGTACGTATCTCTGACCATATGAAGGTCCATATGCCGAGCAAGGCTTACCGATGTACATTGTGTGGTTACCGAGGAAATACGGTCCGTGGCATGCGTATGCACGGCAAAATGCATGTAGACAGTGGAGAGGAGTTTGCCGACGAGAATATGATAGAGATTGAGGAGCCACCTTTATTGCCAGTAAAGGCGAGACATATCACAGAAAACGGCCCAATCAATATGGAAGCTGAGCTGATTAGACTGAAAAATGAGCCATACAAACGCAGACGCTCACGCAAATCATACGAGAAAAGTGAAAATATGGTTATTCCGTCTGAGCGTCCGATTGTAAACGCGTGTGCTCTCTGTGGCCAAACTTTTACCGATCTAAGAAGCTTTGCGTTGCATATAAGAATGCATGAGGTAGCTGCCCTCCAGGCCGCGGCTGCTAACAGTCTCAAGTGCCAGTTCTGTGAGGATCTGTCAGAAAACTTTGATGATCTTATGAAACATATACAAAGTAAACACCCGGACAAATTTATATTCGATCATAGCAACAATATGTCGAAACCAGAGTCAAGGTCGGAACACACATCTAGATCAAATTCACGTGCAAGCTCTGCAAACTCGCACCCTGATAGTGTCAACCAACCAGCGTCTAGTCTATCACCAACTGGCAGTCATCGTGATAGTAACTCAAACATAGTGGATATCAAGCCGGAACCGTCCGAAAATGGATACGGGTCTCCAATGAGTGACTCTCACAGCAAACAAAGCATCAAAGAAGAACCGCAAGATTTTTCCGATAATGCTTCAAATAGATCGAGCGTCCACTCGCCGATGAGTGACTCGAAAATAAGGGAGAATGACTCCTTCAGGGATGAAGAGACTGACAAACATTTAATCTCTGCTTCAGTGAAAAGATCTGAAAAGAAATCTCCAAGTCCAGTAACATCGCGGTCATATTCACCTGTGATGAAGCAACCTTCTCCAAGTTTAAAGAAATCTCCCACACAGAATAATGACTCATTTGTCCAGCCGTTGAACGTGCCTGTTCTAGACTCCTCTCAGATGCTACCATATTACCACCTCCTTCCAGGCGTAGGGCCCATGCCACGTCTCGTTCCCTTGGCAACGTCTCCTCCTACCTCCGGTTGCACGCCCCCAGATTCCCGGTCGGAGAACTCGGGACCACAGTACTGCAGACATTGTGATATTTCATTTAAATATTTTGCAACTTTTCTAGCCCACAAAAAGTACTATTGTACGGCACGTCCGAGTGAGGAGTTAAGTTCGCCAACACAGGCATGAATCTCGAGAAAAGAGACATATTTAACATTATGTGCCATTGACGCTAACCATAGTGCTATTTTACATCGTTATTTTACATACGGTCCCTTAATGACACGACCTATTAGTGCTATACAAACACTGCCAGTACGGACGGATATATTGTACATTCCATAACACATCACACCTTATGTAGAAATTCGTACCTTATGTTTTACTTTATCCAGAAATAGCTGTATCTGATTTTCTGGCCGTAAAGCCACCCGTCTGTGTACATACAGTAACTAGCTAGTCAAGTAGGAACAGTGAGATGAACAGTGTCTGCAGTATTTGTGTGTAACGTAGTGCCCTATCTAGTCAAACTTTTGTATTTATTATGCAGGACAAATGAACCGCATCTTTTATAACATATAATACCTTTTCGTTCTTTTCATATCGTCTTTAAAAGCTTAAATAGTATATAGTACATAACAATTTCCACTGTCTTATTATATCAAATATTTATAAAATAATCGAGGTAGTTTGTTGAACGAACATTTCATAATTTCAATTATTATACAAATAAATGTAATGACGTTAACTCGTCATTACAGCATTAGCGCATTTTAAAATTGTTATTTTATATATTTTTAAAGATGTTAACCTCATCTACGGGATTTGAAAATAATAATTTTTAGTTGAATCAAAATTGTGTAGATAGATGTTATTACTCGGTATGCTAGTCAGAAGCCCTTTAATCCTGTAGTACACCTGTTATCTCTGATGGACAGGGATTTCTACTTGTTGTTCAATATCTAAATAAAATTTATATTAAGTTACTCTAAGTGTCTTTATATTTACATGTTTTGAATGATATATTTAAAAAGAATATCGACTCCAAAATAGTAAAATGGCCATCAACACGTGTTTATTATGTCTGATTATACATACAATGTTAACAACTTATAGCATTGTTGAGACTTTGAAATATCATGAAGATCAACTTTTCTCTCTCAAGATTAATCTTGTTTGAGTATGACACTGAATAAACCTAAAGATATCCCAACAATGCAAGATTGTAAAGCGTTTTAATTTCTCGATTAAACACAGTTTAGAAACAATGGGGAAATGACGACACTCTGACATGGAATATTTCCAGAACAGACAAAATCACTTAATTATTCAAAAATATATTCAATATTAAGGTTGTTATGGTTAAATCACAATGTCTTGGGTTATATTACAAACTCATTATCGAAATAAGGTTAATAGTATTAAAATAAATGGTAAAAAGGACGATTGATCCATTTTATTATGCATCACTGAATTTGAATAATTTATGTGACATACATGAATAACGCAACACCTACACAGAAATAAAATTCTCGCCAAGAAAGAAAAATACCTGATTCACATGGATTTCGCTTTTCATAAAATTAATGTGTTAGTATAATTACATAATTTTAGCTTTAGTTATGAAAATGATATACCATCAAACGAAACTCGTAGAAATAGAAACAGCATGTTTCTAGATATTATTTTCTCGTAAACTCGTAAAGACGATATCCACTCGTTCATCTTTCGGTAAATTTCGTTTTTTGATTCTGGGGCCAGTAGACCCAGGAGGGTTTTTATGAAACATTGTCTTGAAACAGATGTCATGAGTTACAGAGCGACAACTTTGTGCACAACAGGCCCAGTATTATGTAGCATAGCAGAATGTGCTGGAAAACAGAGAAGTTTTCAAATGAAAAATAAACATTTAAACAAATTTCAGTACCTTCTCAGGAAACATTTAATGATAAAACCATACCGCCTAGAAGTATAATCTCGGTGTCATACTTTGGTGAACAGGAACTAATAATCATCATAAATCAGTAAGGTCACCAGCCTGAATATGAAGGGTATATATTAAGTACAATGTCACTGCTTTACTATCATGTATAAAGAAAAAACACAGGGAAATACAGGCAAATTAACAAAATAGAAATTCCAAGTAAGAAAATAAGATTTCATGTCAACAAAATTAGATTTCAAATCAACAAAATTAGATTTCATGTCAACAAAATAATAATTCAAATTAGCAAAATGAGATTTCAAATTAACACACTAAGATCAAACAGAAAGATTTACAGGAAAAACGTTGAAAAAGTACAAAGAGAATGAGACCAAGTGTTCTGAAAGCAAAAGGATAATTAACACAGATGCCCTTGACAAAAGCAAGGTGAATAATAGTTTGAGTGAACACTCAAATCTGACTACACAAATACGTTACGTATCCATCAAACTAAGCTGTCTAATTAGATATGTTGTCCATTGGGAACATAAAAATGATAAATTAGGATGTGTTTGCTGTTGCCCAGAAACTATGGTATGCAATATTAAGTATATACAATAAATTTGATTAAGAACTGCTTAGATCCGTATTACCTGTCAAGCAACTTGTAGAAGTGGTTGTATTAACGCAAGTTTGCAACAAAACGGAGAAATGTACTAATTAAAACAATTGATAACGATTTTATGTTCAAGACAAGCATTCGATAACGGATAAGAAGGAATGGAACCGTGAATCAATTCATGTTACGTCACAAACACGACAGTTGTAATGTCATTATGTCACTGCCCATACGTTTTAATCGTTCTTCACATTCGTTCAAAACAAAAATAATTGATCATTATTGTGAAACAAAGATCACCCTAAAATGTTAACAATCTCAACAAGCTTATCTTATTTCATTTTTTCACCATTGGATCAAAACTGTCTAAAGGACTGTGCACTAGTACATACAATGTAATTCAAGCTTAATTTGAATTGATATCAATATGCAGAATCAGAGTTTCCATATCTCCGTAAAATTGGATTCATTTCTGTTTGAGTTTTTGAAGCAAGTCATATGTTGAATTATTATGTTTTCTGAAGTTGTATAAGATCACAAAGACCAATAGGTAGTTAAGCAGTTTATAGTCAAATCATAGGAATTTGTATTATTTTTCATTTTATTGGTCTCAAACGCTATTGATTTGTATTTGCTTGAAATATGCAACCAATCTGAGATCAATGCTGTTGTCCACCAGCTCATGTTGTTTTATATACAAAACGAGACTTACTTACGGGAGAGGGGAGATAACAACTAGATATAACGCAATGAGAACGAGAGGGGAGACAACTCCTTGATATATTTTCGATGCGTTTTATCATACGTGGTTATAATGTATAACCAATATTCTAATATAATGGTTATGTAACGCAGTTTTCGTCAGACATCTTCATGATCTAAGACCATCTTTCCTGTTAAGGCAGATGATAGATCTCTCCATTTTGTTATGATAACGACATACTCAAATATGTCATTGAAGTGAGATAAGTTTGAGAGCATTATGATGATAATCTTGCCGAATTCCGATTCAAGTTTTTTTTTCCGGATAAAATCATATGTCACATGGTATCGCTTCCTATTCAAAATGATGCATAAATCCCAATCTCCATTTGATAGAATCGTCCTGACAACTGACTAAGGGAAAACTTTCCACCATGTCAATTGTTTTATTGATATACAATATCCGCAGATACAAATGCATCCTTGTCACTCAGAGAAATGACGATTTTCAGGTATATACATTAGGAATCGATATGATAACAACAATTTTGACGGAGAAATATGTATTGCCTTTTCACTGGGAAATGGATGGAGCTTCTACGTTACCATTGGTTTTTGTTGTATTTAGGAATGAGATATTTAAAATTACGTATAGACTGCAATTATTTTAGAATAGGAATGCTGTAATATTACGCATATACCTGAGATTAGATCGTGCATTTTTTCGTTTCATCTTCTGTAAAAGCAAAAATTCATTATCTAATCTCCTGTATGCATAACAACAAGCATACTATTCCTTAGTTGGAGAAGACTGATGCATATATGTGCTTGTTTTTCTGTTCTTCTTAATCGTCAGTATATCTGTTGGTTTTGATGGTCTTACCCGTTGGTATGCCTGTTGGTTCTGATGTTCTTATTCATTAGTATGCCTGTTAGGTCTGTTGTTCTTACTCGTTAGTATGCCCGTTGGTTCTGTTGTTCTTACTCATTAGTATGTCTGTTGGTTCTGTTGTTCTTACTCATTAGTATGTCTGTTGGGTCTGTTGTTCTGACTCGTTGGTATGTCTGTTGGTTCTGTTGTTCTTACTCGTCAGTATGCCCGTTGGTTCTGTTGTTCTTACTCGTTACTATGCCCGTTGGTTCTGTTGTTCTTATTCGTTACTATGCCTGTTGGGTCTGTTGTTCTTACTCGTTAGTATGTCTGTTGGTTCTGTTGTTCTTACTCGTTGGTATGCCTGTTGGTTCTGTTGTTCTTACTCGTTAGTACGTCTGTTGGTTCTGATGTTCTTACTCGGTAGTATGTCTGTTGGTTCTGATGTTCTTACTCGTTAGTATGCCTGTTGGTTCTGTTGTTCTTACTCGTTGGTATGTCTGTTGGTTCTGATGTTCTGACTCGTTAGTATGTCTGTTGGTTCTGTTGTTCTTACCCGTTGGTATGCCTGTTGGTTCTGTTGTTCTTACCCGTTGGTATGTCTGTTGGTTCTGTTGTTCTTACTCGTTGGTATGTCTGTTGGTTCTGATGTTCTTACTCGTTAGTATGTCTGTTGGTTCTGTTGTTCTTACTCGTTAGTATGTCTGTTGGTTCTGTTGTTCTTACTCGTTCTTACTCGTTAGTATGTCTGTTGGTTCTGTTGTTCTTACTCGTTAGTATGTCTGTTGGTTCTGTTGTTCTTACTCGTTAGTATGTCTGTTGGTTCTGTTGTTCTTACTCGTTAGTATGTCTGTTGGTTCTGATGTTCTTACTCGGTAGTATGTCTGTTGGTTCTGATGTTCTGACTCGTTAGTACGCCTGTTGGTTATGATGTTCTTACTCGGTAGTATGTCTGTTGGTTCTGATGTTCTTACTCGTTAGTATGTCTGTTGGTTCTGGTGTTCTGACTCGTTAGTACGTCTGTTGGTTCTGATGTTCTTACTCGTTGGTATGTCTGTTGGTTCTGATGTTCTTACTCGTTAGTATGTCTGTTGGTTCTGATGTTCTGACTCGTTAGTATGTCTGTTGGTTCTGATGTTCTTACTCGTTAGTACGCCTGTTGGTTCTGATGTTCTTACTCGTTAGTATGTCTGTTGGTTCTGATGTTCTTACTCGGTAGTATGTCTGTTGGTTCTGATGTTCTGACTCGTTAGTACGCCTGTTGGTTCTGATGTTCTTACTCGGTAGTATGCCTGTTGGTTCTGATGTTCTTACTCGTTAGTATGTCTGTTGGTTCTGATGTTCTTACTCGTTAGTATGTCTGTTGGTTCTGATGTTCTTACTCGTTGGTATGTCTGTTGGTTCTGATGTTCTTACTCGTTAGTATGTCTGTTGGTTCTGATGTTCTTACTCGTTAGTATGTCTGTTGGTTCTGATGTTCTTACTCGTTAGTATGTCTGTTGGTTCTGATTCTTACTCGTTATTTGGTATGTCTGTTGGTTCTGTTGTTCTTACTCGTTGGTATGTCTGTTGGTTCTGATGTTTTTACTGGTTGGTATGTCTGTTGGTTCTGATGTTCTTACTCGGTAGTACGCCTGTTGGTTCTGATGTTCTGA